AGCACTGATGTACATACGACCCCCGTACGCATGTTTGATAAATAGGGATTTGTTTGTACTTATACACACTCTAAATGTCATTCGTACGACAGAATTTAGAACCTTTTCTACACACTGATGATAAATGAGGCCCCTGGAGTCACATCAGGTGAGAACTTTCCTCCTCAGCTCTCACTGATGATGTTGCTTCTTCAACTTGTTCAGTATGGTCTCCCAACTTTTACACTAACTGCTGTGAAACAACAACGTACTGCACTGCTGCTCTGGTTCCTTCATCCATCCTTCTCTCCATCTCCTCCAGCTCCCGGACCTTCTCTGTGTCTCCTTTCTCCTTCATCTTCTCAATCAGGAAGTCCAGGTGGACATGAGTGGACACTGAACCAGCTTCCAGAGCGATCTCCTTCAGTCTGACAACATGTTGGTAGGCCTCCTCCAGCCACTGTGTTTTCTCTGATGTCAGCTGGTCCATTTCTTTCTTCAGTTTCTCCAAAAGACTCGACTTCTTCTGGTTTTCTTTCTGATTCTCTTCATACTTCAGTTTCATGTCTTCCAGAGTCTTCTTCACTCTCCTTGTCTTGGGCACATATCTCCACTTTTCTTTCACATGATCTGATGCAGGACACTTGTTGGTACATGAGGTGCAGCGTCCACCTTTCATGACCTCACAGTGTTCAGGATACCAGGCCATTGTACATCCAGGATAGTGACAGTTCTCTTCACAGACTGTACAGCAGACAGCTCCTTCATAAAACACCAACTTCCACATCCCACCTCTAATTTTTTCTTTCTCTTTGTAGGGTTCAACAACTTCCACAGTGAACTCCTGGTTCTTCTTCATCTCTCCTTCATGTTTCTTCAGAGCTTCTTCAGTCTGACTGATTTCTGTCTGCTTTGCTTCAATAAACTTGATTCTCTCCTGCAGGTTTTGGACACGGGCTTCCAGTCTGACTCGTTTATTCAACACTTCAACTGTTGTCATCAGCTTCAGAGGTCCGGTTCTGTTCAGGAAGGCTGTGAACTCACTCATTCCTTCCTTTGTTATGTCCCATGAATGTTTTAAAGTAGCTTTAGTTTTTTCTTCTGTGCCTCTCTGGGTTTTCTGTTGGTTATTAAACAGGAAGTGAACAGGCTGATCCTTCTCATTTCTGGCACATTTGACTTTTGCAGCTTCCAGAGCCTGAAGAGCATTTTCAGGTTTTCCTCCATCTGAGTGTGTGATCAGAGCTACGATGTTTTTCTCCAGGTTTTTTCCAAACAGAGACATCACTGAGTTGAAGACGTATATCTGTCGGTCACTCAGTCGATAATCACTCGCCTTCAGCACCAGACCCACTGCATTGACTTCATTAACTCCATCATCTGATCTAAACAAGTCCAACAACCTTTGACTGATGATGGCATCTTGTTCAGGTCCTCTGGTGTCTCCAAATCCAGGAGTATCGATGATGGTCAGAGAGTAGGGCAGAGCTTCACCTTCAAAACCAAAAACCTGGTATACGATCACATCTGNGCATCATCCTCTGGACACACACAAGCGGTAAGAGGTGCACTTGCCCTCACGTTAAGCAATCATCTCACTTCCTTCCACTTAGGCCTAATATAACAGCTGCGGCCGACCGGTTACCTTGGCAACGCGTCACAACGAGAGACATGAAATAGTCCGCTCAGCCGCTTGTTGTGGAAAACTTACGATTTTAACGGTAAAAAACAACATTAACGTATTAATAATTGATTTAATATTTATTTAGTAATATCTTTCGTAAGTGACCATGGTATAAGCGGGATAATGCCCTTCGAGGTGTCCATTATCAGAAATTAATGGACGACGCGGAGGCGTGAACCGTCCGACGCGGGTTGTTCTCCCTAGTTCACACCCCTGGGTTGTTTGGTTATTATGGTTATTGTAATTCACTGGGTATTTGCACTTTGATTTCACTTTGTAAATAAACACTTCTTCACCTAGTCTTGTATCTCATTGTCCTCAGTGTCTACATGTGGGTTCTGCAGAAACCCCATTGAAAATTAATTGTGGAGGTTTCATGGTGATATCTGTTACTTAAAATGTTTCCCTATTTTTCTCTAGACTGTTCATTTAACAGAAATAGAGAACCGGTCTTTTAAGCTGGAACAACAACTTTGGATGACACTGATAGAGATTGAAAGATGTGGCAGCCAAAGTTCACGACAACGGTGGAGAAAAGATGTAATTCAACTACAGCATGATTTGAAAAAACTGCAAAAAAAGGTGAAAGATGCAATCAGAATCCAGAAGGGTTCGCCAAAAGATCAGTTCCGGAGAAGGACCATAATGGAGCACAAAAAGTTAATGAACCAGGTAAAAACAATTTTATTCTTAATCCACTTTAGAAACAACAACAACAAAAAACGGTCATTCCTTACAGCATAATTGGTATTTTTCGTTAGAGAAAATGTAATGTTAATTTGTTTTTGTTATGTCACATTGTAAAGGGATACCAGTGGACTGTACAACAAGATTATGAGATTAGTGGGTTAGCTAGGTATGTTGGGCCTAAAGTCAGAGTTTTCAGTATCATGAGGGTGGTTCTCATTTAACCTCCTAGATCACCATGGAAACAGATGCTGTTGTGCTATCCTCGTCAGGAGCAGGTTCGATTAGATATAAATCAGCTGGGAGAAGCTTCTCCTTTTTTGCCAGATCGTTTTCTGACACTTCTGTCACAGAACAGACTCTGAGACAAAGGCGTGGACTAAGACATGGCAGCAGAATTCAGCAACAAACAGAATTTATTCACTAAATTTACAATGTATACACACAAAGCAGAAACTGGGTCAAAGGGTGCAGGACAAAAGACTAACTGGGGACAACTAGAGGCAGGGCGGACTAAATACAGATAACAGAGAGCTAGAGGAAGTAGCGGTACTGAACTGAGCTGACCCGGACTTGGTACAACCAAAGCAGGAAAGCGACTATGGACACTGAATACGTTACACAAACACAAGAACACAGTACAAGTACTATTTACAGCGAACATGAAAATACTGATAATATTTACAAACACTTTGTGCAATGGTGAACTACAAATGCTAATATAAAAACTATCTACAAATGCTATAATATAGGAATTATTTACAAACGCTATCTTACCATTATATTTACAAAGTGTGAAACTAAGAATACTATGTACAATATACAATAGGACCCAGCAGGAGAATGAGGGCTTACTGACAGTGGAGGTAGGTGAAGGGAGGGGGGAATGGTGAGCAGCGTGGCTGCTGATGGCGTCTGGAGACAGCAGACAGGCATGGTGACAAAGAGATGATCTGAGAGACTTGACCCAGAGAAGACAACGGAGCAGATGAAATGGTGAACAGGAATCCAAGATGGTGGGGCAGGTCAAAGAAGATGTGATTTACGGTTAGGCGTCATGTCATGGTCTGCAGTCTGCTTATATGGCAGTCAAAAGTGGGTAATAGATTGGTGACCACGCCCCGCTGCAGGTGAAGGTATTCAGGTAATCAGCTGACCTGTCCATCACTTAGACATCAGCCAGTACACGCCCACCTAGGGAAAAGGAAAGGAGGGAGAGGGAGAAGGAAAAATGGAAAAAGACTGTCACTAGGTAGGGTTGGAGGCCAAGGGCATGTCAGATTCTATCTATCTATCTATCTATCTATCTATCTATCTATCTATCTATCTATACACATATATATATATGATTTTTTATTTTTTTTTGGGGGGGGGGCTTTTTGTCTTCATTTAGAGCAGTAGAGATAGACAGGAAAGGGGGGAGAAGAATGGGAAGAGACCTACAGCAAAGTGTCATGAGCAGGAGTCAAACCCACGACCACTGCGTCGGAGAACTATAGCCTCTGTTCATGGGTTGCCCGCTCAACTAGCTATAGGGGTGCCCAGGCATGTCAGATTCTTGATGATCAATACAGATTCTTAGCTGAGGGAATATGTTATATCTGTAAAACTGTTGATCGGTAGGTTATTAATATCACAGAGTGAAGCTGTGTCATGTCCGTCAAGTTTCTGTTTATGTCTGCACATTTTATGTCTTGTCGTTCCTGTTTTATTTTGTAAACACTAACCATTTGCCTCTGTGTTACATTTACTTCCTGCACCCATCTCATCACACCTGCTCCCTGATGGTTTTCCCTCACCTGTTTCCCATCTCCCCTCATTACCTCGTTTATATTACCCTGTGTGTCTCACAGTGTCGTTGCCAGTTTGTTGTGCTTCACAGTCCTCATTCCAGCATTTCTTTGTAGCCATAGTCACAGTCATAGTCTGTTTTGTGTACAAACTCATTTCTGTTTTTGACCTTGCCTTTCGCCTCTCGTTTTTGGATACCTCTACCAGTCTGATTGATCACCTGTGTACCGAACCCTGCCTGATATTGAATAGAATAGAATGAGTTGAGTTGATGTTGAGGGAGGCACACTGAGGGAGGGGGGACCGCGGTGAGGGTGGGGGGGGTCATGGACTGGTCAAACCGGTTGAAGACGGCATTCAGATTGTTTGCCTCCTCCACCGTCCCCCCTGCTGTTCTGACTTTTGTTCTGAAGCCTGTGATGGTATTCACACCCTGCCAGACCTCCTTCATGTTGTTGTCCCTCAGCTGCTGCTCCATCTTCCTCCTGTAGGTGTCTTTGGCCTCCTTTAGGCACAGCTTCACCTCCCTCTGTGCTGATCTGATGGCCTCCCTGTCTTTGTTCCTGAAGGCTACCTCCTTCTTGTTGAGTGCAGCTTTGACCTCCTGCGTCACCCAGGGTTTGTTGTTCGGGTAACAACGAACAGTCTTATGCTGTGTTCACACCAGACGCAAGTAAAATCATTCGCGCGAATGATTTACATGTAAAGTCAATGTGAAGACGCGATTAGACGTGAGTAAACGTCCCGCGGCGCGATAGACGCGAATTGAGCGAGTTTGACGCACGTTTGACACGATTTGGACGCGCGTCTAGAGAGAAGGTTGAAAAATCTGAACTTTTGCGTTGTGACACGCAGCGATGGCCAATCAGCGTTGAGATTCTCTGGTGAAGTCAACAACATGATTCATTCATTTTTTGCAACTACACTGTGAATACTGATTGATTTACTCACCCCAGGAGATAAGCAGCTACAATACTGGCCAGGGCAGATCTCAGTGCTCAGCAGACGGGCTGTCCCTCTCCTCCAGTTCACACACAACAATGCTACTCTTCAACTTAGCAAGCTAGTGAGCCGAGTTGCTAGCTATTGCAATGCTAGCGGGATAATCCTCTGCTGGCTCCTCGTCGCTGTGGTCAGTTTACTCCTGCTTACGGCCGCTTGTCCGTGTTGTTGTATGTGGCATGGAAAAAACATGGCTCTATCTCAGCGAGCGCCTGTAGTTAGTATCCTGGAGGGATAACCTGGTACCAATCCTCTCCAACAGGTAGTCAACCTGTAGAACATCCCAAGAGGTGGTTTCCATACAGTCTCTCAGGGCCTCCTCCACCTCAGGAGACCACCTCCTGATGGTGCGCATTGTGGCCGGCTGTCTTTTGACCAGATGGGTGTACTGAGGCTGTAGGAGGACTACGTTGTGGTCTGACTTCCCAAGTGGGGGGAGGGGGGTGGCTCTGTATGTGTCCCGTACATTAGCATACAGGAGGTCGATTGTCCGTTTTTTTCTGGGGGGGGGGCAGTTCACAAACTGGTGGAAAGTAGGCAAGGCAGAGTTCAGTGTGGCGTGATTAAAGTCCCCAGAGATGATGATGAGTGCCTCTGGATGTTGGGTCTGCAGCCTTGCTGTGACTGTATGAATCTTCTCACAGGCAGCGGCTGCGTCGGCACTCGGGAGGATTGTGATGTATGAGTGTTCTGTGTTTAGAACTTCATTACCCAGAATGCCACAGTAACGGGGGTTGCTGGGGAAACCCCGTTAGAGGAGAGTTGTACGGAGCCCNCAAAATATCAAAAACAAATCAATAAACCAAAAGACCACACTAACACAGAATTCCAATATCCAAAAATATGATTAACAACATTTAACCAAATAACAAATAAATTTAGCAAAATAAAAATGTTAATCATAATCAATATCAAAGTTACTCTTGAACAAAAAATCAAAACCAAATAGAAATAATTGTGGTAAAATAAGAACCAAATCCAAAATCAAAGAAATAGATTTAGGCTCCTACACTGGTCATAACTGATAAGTGTTCATCAAATCCTTCAGTGGAGTCCTAACTGCTCCACATCAACACACAGAGTCGTCTCTCAAGTCAAAGCAAAGTTTTACTTGCAGCAAGGCAAGCAAGGTTCAGACAAACATTCTGGTAGATTAATCGTAGCAACTGGACTCAAGCAAGTCCAGTTGCTACGATTAATCTACCAGAACAACCATGACCTGGATGACTGCGAATCTTCACAGACACGTTCAGACAAACAGCATTGAATCATCACATATAAAACTACATTTTCATAGCAATAAGCTTTCAAGTTGGGCAGAAATATTCCCATAGGCCACCCAGATGCTTCATCAGTAGCAAAAGCCTTGTGCAGAGAAATAGTACCAAGATTTAGGAAACTGGAAAAGCTGTACTGTGATGATGGAACACATTTTGTAGATGAAGTGATCACAAAGAGGACTCAGAGCCTGGAAATACCAGTAAAATATATCACTGTGCATCATATCATCCACAGTCAGCAGGATTAGTAGGAAGAGCAGCTCAAACAGTAAAAGGCTCACTTCTCTGCTCTATTACATCCCAGAGTCACTCACATGGACTGTTAGCACCACAGCGGCTCTACTTCTTGAGGACGCTTCAGACAAACAGTGTGTCTGCAGAGCTGCTGCGAGCCTTTTAGCAGTGCTCCATCGGGTCAGTACTCACATACAGCACCAGTGTGGGATGCCAACTGCACAGTTACTGACCAGAACAATCTCCAGAGAGTGATGAAGACATGTCAGCACATGACTGGACTGCCACTACCCCCACTGGAGGACATCTTTACAACCCCCTGCCTCTGCAGAGCCAGCAGCACCATAGGAGACAGAACTCACCTCCTCGTCACTCTGCTACCTTCTGGCAGGAGCTACAGATGCATCAAAGGCCACAAATGCAGACTAAAAGACAGCTTCTTACCAAGATCCATCACAGTACTGAACTCAGACTGACCACGACCCCGACACCCCACAGGTCCAATCCCCGTGGTCACTATAGTGGGCAATAAATGTGGACACTACAATGTTTGCACAAACTCACTGCTGTTCATTTTTTATGCTTTTATTGTTATTTGTTGATGCACAAGTAAATGAGGAGTGTGTGTGTGTGTGGGTGTGTGTGTGTGTGTGTGCGCGATGCATAGTGTTATTTTAAGCACAGCACATTTCATTGTGCTTCTTGGTGCACTGACAGTAAAGCTTTCTGATTCTGATTCTGAATTAGAGAACCCTGATCCTAATGACTGTAGGATATGGACAGACACAGATGCCCAAAAGGATTCAAAAAACTTNAGCTTCACTGCTTCTGGAAGAGAAGGAATCATTTCAGCAGATATTTGTCTCAGTGAGATGAGCAGAGAACAGAGACATGAGCTGATCAGGGTTCTGTGGTGTAGCGGCAGCTTGGTTTAGTTTCTGCTCATCCTTCCTGTCTGCCCTGAGACGGCAGCAGTTCACAGCCTGTAATCACGTTATCGATCCGTTCTGATTGATCAGCTGTGACCTACAGGGAACTAGTCACAGACAACAGGTAGCTCATTGATGACGCTGACAAACCTGATGTAGCATCAGCGTTAACGAGTCAGGAAACGTAACCTGAGATTTACAGAACAGCTTAAAACACGATGTTAGATGTTAAAATAAAAATATTAGGAAAATTCTTCAGTGGAGTCCTAACTGCTTCACATCAACACACAGAGTCGTCTCTTCAGTCAAAGCAAAGTTGTACTTGCAGCCAGGAGCAACATGTACAGCACAGAGTCTGAACAAGTGACTGACTAGAAGCATGAAGCGTTGGTTCTTAAATACAGAAAACAGAAGACAACCTCCCACAAATGGGTGTGATTAGGCATGGTGTTTTGACTACCCGCTGTCCTTATCTCACACTCACTAGATAAAATAGAGGCAATGGATATTTACAACATTCTCATGCTTTTCATGATCATTGGCTCATAACACAGAATTATTCCAACATTTGATGTCAGATCCTGTCTCTGATGGTAAAACAGGATCTGAACTTACAGCAGCTTCAGCTGCAGGAACGCAGGTCGCTGCTTTAGATGGAACATCATCCAGATGTGGACAGAAAACAACCAGGTACTGAGACACTTTAACACTCACCTGGAGAGTTTAGCTCCACTTATGGAGGCTAACCTATTAGCAGCAGCAGCAGGTAGAGGTGGGCGGGCAGAGAGTCCTCAGGTCTCAGTCAGTCTGACCAATCACTGCTCTCCGGCTCCGCTTTCTCACAATCTTTTTCGTCTCCAAAAATCCAAGATGTCAACTGGAAAGCAACAAAATCCTGGTTTTGTTTTCTCAGTGCAGAAACCAACAGGTGACGTCACGCTAGCTACATCATCTTTCCTATCCAGTCTATGGTTTGTATTCAAACAGCAGAACTCTGTCATGTGACTGACTTGTTTATAATGTTTGAATCACTAATAGTCCAAACCACAAGTTGGTCATGTTCTTGTCTTTTCACAGATGTTTTCAGACTCCCTTCATAACTTCAGGTGTCCGACAGTCTAAATGTGTTCTTGCTGCTGTCAGCAGGTGGACACTGCAGGGATGGATGGGGCTGGTGAACGGCGCCACCTGGTGGACGATTGAAACATCATCCAGACATGAAGGAACCTAAAGTACATGTAGTTGTACCGGAGGAAGCTCCAGTGATTGATCCTGATCGATTATCAGTCAACANCAGAGCTTCACCTTCAAAACCAAAAACCTGGTATACGATCACATCTGATGTCTGACTTTCTGACTGACTTCTCTCCTCCTCCTCTACGATCTGAAACCAGACCTCATCCTCCCACTTCACTCCCATGGCGTAGTTGACCAGAGCATTGATCAGAGCAGATTTTCCTGCTCCTGTTTCTCCCACAACTAAGATGGTTTTATTGATCTGGTTCACATTTTTTTCTCCAACAGTTTTTCTTGTCAGAGTTCCAATCTTCTCTTTCTTTGTTCTCAGCTGGTAGACAGCAGGAGGTCCTGGATGCAGCAGAACACTTCTGGAGATGATGTCCTCGTATTTAGATGAGATGTTACTGTTACTGCAGAGAAAGGGACAGAAATACGTTTATTGTGTTGTTATAAATCTTCTTCATCCATCACTGACTTTGTTGAGGTTTTAGAGAGAATCCACCAATGAGGACAAGGAGACCAGCTACGACATGAACGAACTGATTATTTATTGTACGTTTAAGCAACTTTTCCTCATTGATCAATAAAGTATCTCTGATTCTGATCTATGATGGGTCCAGATAATCAGGGAATTACTAAGTGCAGAGATCAGAGACCAAAGAACAAAGTACCCAGGGCAGTGGACTGGGGAGAGGGAGCAAACAACAAACTGACCCAAGGGCTTGGTGAACCAGGGAAACTGAAACATGGAAAACCAAGAACACAGAAACTCACAGGGGCCAGTGACAAACACTAAACACATGGAACTGCACATGGAGCACATCATGTGTTGGGAAAGACACAAACATTATTGGCCGGCTGAGCTTGGACACAAAGCTAGAGCAAATCAACGCTAAGTACTGCAACGACTACAAGGAATACACAGAGGATACACAAACTGAGTTAGTGAGGACAAATGACACTGAAGGACTGCAAGACTGAGGTCAGGACATCCTCCTGACCCACCTGATTGTCTTTCACATATTGTTGAAGGGCATATTTGGCACAACACGGGATGCATGTTGTGACAGACGGCAGAATTCACCACTTTAAACCTCCTCTGGTGCCTCACATGTAGTATATATATATATATATATATATATATATACAAAGAGAGAGCATTGTTGGTCTTTGCAAAGCACAACCAAGGCAGGTATGAGTAGCTGCTGGATTGACTCGGGTCTGACAGGATTTAGTGAAGGCACTAGAGAACCAGGTGGAGGTGGAAAGAGGGTCACCTGGACCAGGTGTAGGAGGAGAAGGACGATGACCTCAGGGTTACACGGGGGAACGTTTACATGACTGGTCATGCAGCTCTGTGACTACAGGGGGACGAGTCTGTTGGACCCAAGGTCCCAGGAGTCATCAGAGCCGTCTGGCTTTAAGGAACCTGAGGAACAGTGTCCAGAATAAAGACACTTTACTGTGATGACAACAAACATCAACAGCCCTGTTCAGTATGGCCAGCAGAGGGCGCCCTGACTCAT